AAATATATTTTAAGGGCTGGGGTTCAGATAAGTATGGTCATGATAAGAAAAGGAAAGAGGACTTACGTATGGAACTAGCTATGCTTGAGGAACTGGAACAAGAAGATATGTTGCCTCCTGACTTATATAGTAGAAAAATGGATATCAACCCTGAGCTCTATGAGCTCCTAGTAAATGAGGAAATATTTTGGCTTCAACAGTCTCATGAGCGCTGGCTGCTCAAAGGAGACTTGAATACTGACTATTATCACAAGATTGCTAATGGGCGGAAACGTAAAAATACAATCCAATCACTTAAAGTGGGAGAGACAGTGATTTAAGGCACGGACAATTTGATTGCACATGCCATTGAGTTTTACAAAGAACTATTCGGACCAGCCCCTGGTAACCAGATTCATCTTCATCCGGGAACCTGGTCGCCTGAGGAGGAATTAGACAAAAAAGATAATAAGGATCTTTGCCGAGAATTTACAGAACAGGAGGTCAAAGAGGCTCTATTTGATATGGCCCCTAATAGAGCCCCTAGGCTCGATAATATCCCTGTTGTGTTCTATCAGGTGTGCTGGGATATAGTTAAAGATGACATTATGGCCCTTTTTAAAGCCTTCCACCAAGGGACACTGGATGTCCAGAGGCTTAATTATGGAGTTATTAATCTGCTCCCTAAAGTTTCTGGAGCCGAGAAAATCCAGCAATATAGGCCTATCTGCTTGTTGAGATGCCCATATAAGTTGATCACCAAAGTCCTTGACCGAAGAGTTGCTATGTATACAAGCAAACTCATTAGCCCTACTCAAAACACCTTTGTAAAGGGGAGAAATATCATGGACGGTGTCTTGTCCCTCCATGAAATTCTTAAGTACACTTATGTTAAGAAGAAAGTGGGGATTGTCCTTAAGTTGGACTTTGAAAAAGCCTATGATAAGGTGAATTGGTACTTTCTCCTAGAATGCCACAAGATGTGGGGCTTTGATGATACTTGGTGCAGATGGATTGAACAGATACTGCATAATGGGACAGTTAGCATCAAGCTTAATGGTAGTGTTGGGCCGTATTTTCAAAGCAAAAAAGGGGTAAGGCAGGGAGACCCACACTCTCCTTTCCTGTTCAATCTAGTCGTTGAATGCCTCACCAAAACGATCAAAAATGCCCAAAAAACAAACTTATTGTGGGCTTGGCTGCCAACCTTATTCCTGATGCGGTGGCGGTCCTGCAATATGTAGATGATACAATCATTTGCATTGAAGATGATGTTGATAAGGCTGTCAACCTGAAGTTGCTGCTATATATGTTTGAGATGATGTCTGGTCTGAAAGTTAACTTTCAGAAAAGTGAGATTCTCACTGTGGGTGGAGATGAAAGTGTGGTGAATAAATATGCAGAAATCTTTAACTGTGAGGTTGGCAGCTTCCCACTCAAATACTTGGGGATGCCTGTGAGCTATGCTAATCTAAAAACTTCCGATTGGGAGTTTATTGATGGTAAATACCTAAAGAGGTTCGAGGCCTGGATCGGCAATGCTGCCTCAATGAGGGGGAGACACACTCTGCTTGATTCTGTCGTCACACAGATCTCTCTCTACCACATGTCTATGTGGCTCATGAATAAAACTTTCATTGAGAGGCTGGATAAACACAAACGCAAGTTCTTTTGGCAAGGTTGCAACAAAAAAAGGAGATACTATCTTGTTAAGTGGAGCAAGATATGTAGATCCAAAGACAAAGGGGGGTTAGGTATAAAAGATCTTAGAAAGCAAAATATTAGTGTCATGGTTAAATGGTGGTGGAAGTTAGAGACACAAAACGGGCGATGGCAGGATATAGTCCGGGCCAGGTATCTTCGCAACACCTCTGTTGCTGAAGTTTCTCCCAAATTCTCCGACTCGCCTTGTTGGAAAGCCTTGCTCAAGATTAAAAACATCTATATGATGGGCAGAAAGATTGAAACTGGTGCTGGGAACTTGATTAAACTATGGAAAGATCCAATAAATGGGCTGATCCCATTTTAGGATCAATATCCGCGCTTGTTTGAGATCTGCAATTTTCCAACGAGCACCCTGGACAAAAGAGATAGACTTGATGACACCTCTATATTCAGACGCAGACTTACCCCTGAGCTGTCCAAGCAGTGGGAAGATATGCGTGCTGTAGTTAATAGAATTCCCCTTGATGAGAGGAGTGATCGTATATTTTGGGGACTAAACCAGAATGGCAAGTTCACCACTAAGTCAGTGTATAAAATGTTGGAGAAACATCTAAGTGAGTGCCATTATAGATGGATTTGGAAAGCCAAGATCCCTCTAAAAATCAAAATCTTCCTATGGCAAATGTCGCAAGACGCAGTTCTTACTAGGCAAGTGATGAGCAACAGGAAATGGCCAGGGAACCAATGTTGCTCTTTTTGCAAACAGGTGGAAACGGTGCAACACCTGTTCTTTATTTGTCCTGTGGCCAGAATTGTCTTGCGATCTATTGGAGTAGTTCTTGGCACTGATAGATGTACGTCGAATTACTAGCAATACTTCGTGTGGTGCCACAAATTCCTTCCTGGGAAGAAAAAGTTTTATACAGTGGGCTTAGCGGCCACATGTTGGGCCATTTGGCTGGCACACAATCGAGCTACTTTTGAAAAGAAACAAATTAAGACTCCTTTTGAGATTGTGTTTTTTCTATGCTCTTTTCTACTTTACTGGACAGGGCTACAACAAGGAGAGGACGCCAAGGAGCTTCGCACTGGAGCTGAGATGATCAGGGCTGGCACAATGCAGCCGATGAAGATGTGTGGTGTTGTCAAGCAACCAATCCAAGGTGCTTGATGTTTTCCGAAGATGCGCTGGATGAAGAGATGACGGGCGCACGATTTCGATGCTGCTTCATCCCGGAGAAGATTGTTTTTCTATCTGCTTGGCATGCGGCTGTGTTTTGATAGTTGATCTGATCTTTTGAGAATGTAATAGGATAGATGTTATGTCGTGCTACCCAGGTTTTCGCCCCATGATACTCGGTTCGACGGCGAGCGAGTATGGTGGGTTTCCTGGTAGTGCTAGAACTCGCTATACCTCTTTCCCTCCTCCTGTCCATCTCGCTTGAACTGGTTGTATTTCCGTTCTTTGCAGTGGAAAGGGGTAAAGCCCGGTTCTAAAAACAACAACAACCACCAGCAGGTAGCACTGCGAGTACGCGGCTTCGTCCAGTTCAGGCAAGTAGCTTTCGCGTAATTAATCGATTCGGTTTCTAGGTACAGGTTGCGTTCAGTCGTCATTCGCCCAATAAATCGGTTCCTTGGCTCGGATTGTCGATTCAGCATTGTTCCTGGAGTGCAAGGAAGGATTGTGACTTGTCTGCGGAGTGAGGACTAGCTTGTTCAGCGCCACCCTGTATTCAGGACCCAGAAGTGGTTCTCTTTCATTCAGTTCTGAAAGAAGAAAAAGAAAAACTGGCCAATTATGGTCTTGCTACAGGTTGCGGTCATTTAGGTTGTTAACAGGGAGGACTTCGGATGGGAGGTAGGTAGCAGTGCGAATACGCCGCTTCCTCCGATCCAGTCAAGGCACAGTCTCTTAATAATGCGATTCAATTGGTAATTACAGGTTGCGGTCAATTAACATTCGCCCAATAAATCTATACTAGCAAACATGCCCGTGCGTTGCAACGGGAGACAAAAAAGTTACACGCCAGCCAAATAAGTATGACTCAATACCCCAAATTATGAGTGTTCTTTATTTTCACATGGTGGCTCACCATGTTTCCACTTATCTTTCTTCCCACACCCTCGTTGATGATGTACACGATATGCATGTGATCGCAATGCATTTGACGTGGTAAATCCCAAGGCAATGAGCTTGCCACTGCATGGCACGCGCGCTAGAGATTGTTTAAAACTTTAAAAACAAATTTCATGGACCACAAACTACTCCTAGCGCCTAGACATAAAAAGACTTTCCAAAAACTACCCAAATCCTAGACATGAAAGACTTTTGAATCGACGAACATTTTTTCTAATCGAGAAACATTTGTTTTAAAATTTTGGGCATTTTTTAAATGCATGAACATTTGTTTTGTTCAGACGAACATTTTTTGAAATGCATGAATTGTTTTCGAATTCATGAACATTTGTTTTGTTCAGACGAACATTTTTTGAAATGCATGCATATTCTTTGAATTGATGAACATTTTTTGAGTTAGCAAACCTTTTTTGTATCGATAAACTTTTTTTATAATTGGGGAACAAATTTTGAAAAATTGTGATTTTTTTATAATTTGCGAACAGTTTTGTGAATCACCAAAAAAATGAAAACTGCGGAAAATTTATGAGTTCTCACACATTTTTTGAATTCATAAACATTCTATGATTTCTCGAATATTTTTCTCAAAGCTTGCAACCTTTTGTAATTTGAAAATCTCGAATTAATTTAAAGAAGGAAAAACAAAAACAGAAATGAGAAAAGAAAAAACGAAATGAAAACAGAATAGGGGCGTCACGCCCCACGGGCCGGCCCATGAACGCGTATGTGGGAGGGAGGAGGTGCTTGACAAAAAGGTAGAGGAAATAGGACGACCCTGGGGATCGAACCCGGGTCTGCGCGGTGGAGAAGATATGCTTCAACCACTGAGCTGGTAGAGCGTCTGAGGCATGCACGGGGTATTTATTTTATAAACTCCTGTGCGCGACGATGACTTTTAAAAAATCGAATCGTTTTCTTGACTTATGAGTGGCACAGCGGGTAATTTATAGCAACTTTAAGGGTATTTTTTTTGACGGACGACCAGAAGCACTATTTGCTTTATTAGTAGGGAAAGATTCAGCACTCGGTAGTGTTGGTCGTCATTCAGGTTTTTTAACTGCTCAATGATGCATGCTTGTGTGGAGCAGAATGTTAGAAGAATTTGCACGCTGTCTTTCGGCGAATCAGCTCCACGATCTGTCTGAGCATGGTCTACACGGCAAGCCTCCCAATCACTTTCTGTTGAACTATCAAAGGCATCAGCGGACTATATGTAATGTGTGTGCTCTGCAGCTTAACTTATGAACTAGACCTGCACAACATGAGCCTTCTCTTTGCCTTCGAGCTGCTGCTGCTCCTGCTTGCGTTGCCACACCTTTTTTGTGCCTCAAATTCTACACAGACGCCACTGGATCGGCAAGCAGAGGCACTTCCCCAATGGAAATCTAGCCTAAACAATTGGTCCAATGATGGCCTGGACTCATGGACAAAGGCAAGCAACCCTTGTGACTGGGATGGTGTTGCATGCAGCAACGACGTGCTGCCTCGTGGCCGTGACCAGGGTGATGATGCCCTAGTTGTGTTCAACATTTCGCTTGTGGGGTTTGCCCTTGTTGGCACATTAGACAGGCTCCACTTTCCAAATTTGGCCCATCTTGTGTATTTGGACCTTAGTGGCAACATTCTCCAGGGCTCAATCCCATCAAGCATTGGTGCTCTTGCCCAGCTCAGTCACTTGGATCTATGTTGCAGCATTCTCCGGGGCTCAATCCCGCCTAGCATTGGTGCTCTTTCCAAGCTCACTCACTTGGATCTATCCAACAATGAACTGAATGGGTCTATCCCAACATCTCTAGGTAATCGTACTAAACTAACCTCCATCTATCTCTTTTAATACAGTTTGTTTCTACCATGCCTAGTACGGTTGAAAGACTAGGGAATTTGATGAGCCACTCCACTTTGAAGATTTGCCTCATCTTGTCTATTTGAACCTCGGTAACAACAACCTCTCGGGCGGAATCCCTTCAAGCATTGGGGCTCTTGTGGAGCTCACATACTTGGATCTGTCCGTCAACGACCTGAACGGATCTATCCCATCTTCCATAGGCAATTGTACAAAACTATCTTCCCTTGATCTCTCTTACTATAATTTGTTTCTACCATGCCTAGTAAAGTAGGAAGACTAGAGAATTTGATGAGCATCTCCATTTTGCAGATTTGCCTCATCTTGTCTATTTGAACCTTGGTGATAACCACCTCTTGGGCGTAATCCCATCAAGCATTGGCGCTCTAGCCAAGCTCGAAAACTTGGATCTGTCCGGCAATGACCTGAATGGATCTATCCCAACATCCCTAGGTAATTGTACTAAACTAACCTCCATCGCTCTCTTGTACTACAATTTTTTTTCTACCATGCCTAGTACAGTGTGGACACTAGGGAATTTAATGAGCCACTCCACTTTGCAGATTTGCCCCATCTTGTTGATTTGAACCTTGGTAACAACCTCCTCTCAGCCAGAATCCTATCAAGCATTGGTGCTCTGGCCAAGCTCGAGAACTTGGATCTATCCTTTAATATTCTTAATGGATCTATCCCGCCATCCATGGGTAATTGTACAAAAGTAGCCTATCTTGATCTCTCCCATAATTTTTTGTCACAAGGATCCATTGGAAGCATAGTGTTGAGATGTAGATAACATATGTGTATTTCTTGTACAACAAGCCCTCCTCCTTCCATGTATAGTCGAGGACGTGGCTACCCTTTGTACTTATATATACGTGCATATTGCACCCGATCAATACATCGTGAGTTGCATAATTCTCTACATGGTATCAGCCTTAGTCCGATCCACCCTCCCTTAGCGCGTCGCGTCGCCTCCCAGCCGCCGCCGCTTCCCTACGCCCGCGTCGCCGAACCCTCGCCGCCGCCGTAGCTCTCCCTCCCGCGTCGCTGGCTCCCTGCCGCCGCTCCTCTCGCAAACCCTCCCACGCTGCCGCTCGCGATCCCTTCTTCTCGTCGCTAGCCGCACTCAAACCAAACCCTAACACCCTCGCTACCAGCTGCCATCTACCCAAACCCGCCCCGGCCGCCGCCTAACCCTAGCCGCACCTAAACCCTAGCCATGTCAGGTTCCAACCTTCTTTCCGACCGGTCCGCCGCCTGCACCCCTCCCGTGGTGAAGCCGCCGAACCCCTTCGACTCTTCCTACGGCTCCTCCACCGCCACCCTTCCCGATCCCGCCTACATCTGTGATGTTCCCATCGAACGTCGCGTCCCGGTGATCCTCTCCCACAAAGAGGCGAACTTCTATGCTTGGAAGACATACTTCAAGCTCCTCTTTCGTGAGTATAATCTGCAGGACCACATCGACAGCACCGCCAACCTCTTCGTCCTCAACCGCGACGCCGACTGGCTGGCGATCGACGCCACCATCATCCGGTGGCTCTTTCTCACCGTGTCCAAAGACATCTTCCATACTGTCGTTCGCGACAAGGATGATGCATGCACGGTGTGGAACAAGATCGTCGGTCTCTTCACCGACAACAAGCTCCAACGGATCGTCTTCCTGCAGCAGGAGTTCTTCGGGTGTCATCAAAATGACTCCTCCGTCGACGACTACTGCATGCGTCTCAAGACCCTCTCCGACGAGCTCAATGACATCGGCTTCAAGGTGGGCGATGAGTTGCTCCTCTCCACCCTCACCGTCGGCCTCAATGAGGATCTCGGCAACGCTGCCTCCAACCTCACACTCATGGCGAACCCTACCTACGAGCGGGCGGTGGCTTATCTTCGTCTCGAGGAACGCCGGTTGAAGCATCTTCGCTCCCGTGCCGTTCACACCGCCTTCGCCGCCGGCTACTCACGCGGTGGCCCTCCGTCCTCGGGTGCTCCCCTCGGCTTCCCCGCGCCGTTCCAGGCGCCCCGGCCACCGACTGCTTCAGCGCCAAACGGCGCCTACGGAGCCCCATACCAGCAGCGGCCACCGGTCCCTGGTGCCCCTGCGGCTCTTCCTCAACACTTGCCGCAGCAGCCGCCGCAACCGCAGCCGCGCCAGCGACACCGTGGCCGCGGTAAAGGTCAACAGCAACAGCCGCGCGCCGGGCCCGTCCACC